TAGGGGGGGGGGGGGGGGAGTGTGTGACGGGGGAAAGGGCGAGTGATGGATGAGGAAGAAAGCCTGATGTATTTAGGGTTTAATGAGCCATCTCATTTCCGCGACGCTGCCAGGTCGCCCGCAAAGCAAAGGTAAATATTTCCCGTAGAAACCCGCTGTTCCAAGATTAGCAGGAAACACCGACGGCTCCCTGGAAACGCCAAAGGGGAAGGAACACAGGAGAGAAAGGCCCATTTAGCCCGAAGGATCAGGTACAGGAATGATCTGGACAAATGACTCGGGCAACCACGTCTTTTCCTGTCGGTATTCAAATGCCTTGACATGCGGGGGCCTGGCCGAGTCTGGAGGGACCGGCACCCCCTCCCCACCCGCCCTCCAATCGGCCAGTTCCTAGAGACCTCCGTGCCCTACGGGGGTTCCTTTCGAGGCCACACCCAACCACCTGCCTTATGGGCTCCTACACCCTACACCCACAGCCCCTACGCCCACAGCCCCTACACCCAGAGCCGGGAAATTATTCCAACCTTCCAACCAGCCAATCCTAAACCTGCAGAACTTGCCTGGCCTGTTCCTTCCTGCAGAAACTATAGTGACACTTTGGGTGCACGAGTCACCCCCCGCCTCCCACCTGACCCTGTGTTTCCGTGTGTGTGTGTGTGTGTGTGTGTCCGTGTGGCCCCGCCTGGAGACCTCCAGGGAACAAACTGTGCAAAGCCCTTGCTTCCTGGTCTGCTGGGCTTACCCTTCCTAAATGAGCCATAATGAAAACTCTATTTAAAACAGGTCGCTCCTGCCCTAGCCTGTTTAGCTCAGTGGGTAGGGCACTACGGACTGAAGGGTCCCGGATTCAATTCCAGTCAGGGGCACATACCTCGGTTGCAGGTTCAATCCCCAGCCCTGGTCCGGACACATGTGGGAGGCAACCTATCCATGTCTCTCTCTCACACATTGAAGTTTCTCTCTCTCTCTGTCTCTCCTTCTCCTACCCACTCTCTAAAAAATCAATGGAAAGATATCCTCGGGTGAGGATTAACAAACAAACAAATAAAATAATAATAATCTCTCTATCTATATAAAACCCTAATATGCAAATAGACCGAAGAGCAGGACAACCAAACAACCAGTCGCCATGTCGTGCGCTGACCACCAGGGGGCGCGTGTGGACCATGGAGGGTATTGGCAGCAGGCGGCAGAGGGCCGAACGTGGCGGGCACCGGCCACGGTGGGATGGTGGAGCAGGTGAGTGGGGGTGCCAGACCAGGTGGGGTCTGGTTGCTGTCATTGGGGTGAGTCTCTGGTGGTTACTGAAAATTCTTTGCTCCCACACACCACCGTCCCGCTGGGCGCTAGCACCTGCTGCCAGCGTGGGCCCCGCTCACATCCACTGCTGGCGCCAGAACCGCTGCTCGCATCCACTGCGAGCACCCTGAGTGCTTATCCACCTCCCCCTGCTCCTGAGGGGCGATCAGGGCAGCAGCCACTACTCGCACCTGCTGATGGTGCTGGTCCCACAAGTGCCACACTGCCTGGCACCCACAGGATGGAAGGAAGAACACAGTGAGAACACATGGCCCTGGCCGGGGTGGCTCAGTGGTGAGGCATCTACCTAGAAACCAGGAGGTCACAGTTGTCAGGGAGCAGACCCGGGTGGCGGGCTCCATCCCCAGTACGGGGCGTGCAGGAGGCAGCCGACCCATGATCCTCTCTCCCCATTGATGTTTATCTCTCTCTCCCTCTCCCTTCCTCTCTGAAATCAGTAAAAATATAATTAAGGGAAAAGAAAAATAAAAGGAAGACGTATGGACCTAGCCGGTTTGGCTCAGTGCATATAGCATCAGCCTGAAGGATTCCAGGCTTGATCACCGACACTGGTCCGGGCAGGAGACAACCCATCGATGCCTCTCTCTCTCTCTCTCTCTCCCTCTCTGTCTACCCCCTTTCTTCCCCCTTTTCCACTCTCTTCAAAAATTCAATGAAAAAAATATCTTTGGGTGAGGATTAACGAAGAAAATTTAAAAAAAAAATGAGGGCTTGGTATGTCTCGTGCCTGGTATACCTGCCACCCCCACGCTCACCCCACACAGCCCT